AACAGATTAAATCATTCGGGTAGGATAGCCCATATCTGATTTACAGAACAACTGGATAGATAGATGATAGATAAAGAGGTCATACATTATGACAACAAAACCTGTGCTTTAGTTTCTTATTATTATGTTTTATTTTTTATGTTTTTATTTCCTTTTATTGCACATTTCAGAAACATAGGGTTCTTTACAAGGAATTTTTTTTAAAAAGCTTATTGAAAACATGACAGTGATATGATAATTTAAAATGCCATTAAAACTCACAAGATTCATCCAATATTATGACTGCAGGTTCTTCCCCACCACCTTTTTAAGTGCTCCTAATACATCCTGGTTTCTCAGTGTGTAGATTAAAGGGTTTAACATGGGTACCAGTGCTTGATTAAAGATATAAATGATTTTGTCACTAGCTTGTTTGTCTTTAGACTGAGGTTTGATGTATAGTGCTATAGCATTTCCAAAGAACACCAGCACCACAGCTAGGTGAGATCCACAAGTAGAGAAAGCTTTCAGTCTGCTTCCAGATGAATGGATTCTCAAAATGGCCACAAGGATACGTGCATACGAAAAAAGGATGAAACAAAAGGGGAAAAGAATTGTGCCGGTGCTGGTGAAGTACATTGACAGTTGTCCCACAGCCATGTTAGAACAAATTAATTTCATGATGGCTGTGAGCTCACATGCAAAATGATCCACCTCATTATGTCCACAGAAGTGGGCAGGGATTTGCAAGACAGGGAACAATAGCAAGTAAGAAGGCCATTGTCCACGATACAATAGCCAAAACAATGCAAACTTTCCAGTTCATGATAAGCATATAACGGAGTGGATTGGAGATGGCAACATACCGGTCATAAGCCATGACTGCCAACAAGAAACATTCTGTTGATCCAAGGTATATACCAGTGTACATCTGAATGTAACATTTAGCAAAAGACATGATGGGTCTGTCCACCAAACAGTTGGCAATAGATTGTGGAACTGAAGATGTACAAAGACAGATATCAATGATGGACAGATTACAAAGGAAGAAGTACATTGGATTATGGAGCCGAGGATCAGCTATGACTACAAACAGAATGAGTCCATTTCCGATTATGTTTCCCAAGTAGATGATGGTCATTAAAGCCGCCAATCCTATCTTTGTTTTGGGATGTCCAGAAAATCCAATGAGGACGAACTCAGTTATTTCAGACTCATTCATATCCTCTAAGTTCTGTATAAAGATTTGTTTTTGGTGATCAGGGGAGAAATAAAAGTTGCTTAATATTTGAGAAAGTAAAAGAATTGACTATATATAAACTAGACATTTACAGTATTGAAACTACAGTATCAACCTTGAAATTGATAATGCTATGATTAGATAAAAATGTGTAGGATCAAAATTATAGGAACTCCCTGGATAGACAGATCAACTAATATTTATATGCATCACAGGTAATTTATTGAGAAAGCCTCAGATCTTATTAGATGTTTTCCTTTTTTTCTTTCCTACGTTCCTGCGTTCTCACACCACATCTGGGGAAACATCACAAACACATTTTAAAAAGATTTCTAAGTGAATTCACTAAAAAATTGTTTAACATAAAAATAACAAGTCAATAGAATGCAAAATAATTTTGCCTATTTCTTGTGCTATATTAGAGTGAGATTTCAGACATTTGAATATATGACTCCCATATAATATAATTTTATTTCTAGATTAGGACACTGGGTAAGACTTTGAAAAATTTAAGTACTTTTTCATTCTTGTCAGTGGTAGATATGTAAGTATGCATGTAACTCTTCTAATGAAGCTATATAGAACAGAGGCATAGTATTTAATGTACAAGCTAGCATATCCAAGAATAACTAAGTGGAATACATAAGGTTAATTAAAAATGATAGCTTACCTTTTAAATACAATCTTCAAATCTATGTAGTTTTGACAATAGGCTTTCTCTAAAAACATTCAGTGTATTCTGGTTATTTCCAAATATTTTCCCCATAGTTCTGGTAGGATAACACAGCAACAATTTCAAGAGACTTTGGGAAAGAAAGTGGGGCTTTTTGCAGCTATGATGGAGTTCCTTGCAAATTAAAAAGTAATATTTTTAATTATCCCTTAAATTCAAAACTGTTCTGTATCTAGCACATTAATATCAATATGTTTGCAGAATCCTTTATTCTGATTCCTTTTGGCTTACTAGCTTTATCAACTTAAAAATGAACTAATACAATTAAAATCTCAAAGCTGGCTATATGGCATTTACTTTCTGAGTTCTTTTTCATATGCTCTCTGGTCCTTCAATAGCTATCTGTGTATAGATAACACAGATTTGGTTCTTAATCAGGTGTATTTATGTTTCAATGAAAAAATATACTGAAGCACTGTCACATCTGGATAAAGATACATAACATTATATTACTTCTTGATTTCAGCTATATCCTTCTGCATTCCCATATGAAATAATCCCGATTGACTAATTTACTTGCAAGCATTCAAGGAACTCTTATAACTAGTCATATAAATATATAGTTATTATCACAAAACTATTTACAATGGTACCTTGGTTGTTGAACTTGATCCATTCTGGGAGTATGTTTGACTCCTGGCTTCTGATTGGCTGCAGGAGCTTCCTGCACTCAATTGGAAACTGCTGAAGCTGTGTCACATGTTCAGCTTCCGAAAAATATTTGCAAACCAGAACACTCACTTCAGGGTTTGAAGTGTTCGGGAGCCAAGCCCCTTCGACAACCAAGGTACCACTGTATGTTCAGCAAAGAGTGTTTAGGCCTCAACCATTTAATGAAAAGGAATCACACCAAGTTTACTAGAAAACAGTAGAGTCTTCTAAAGTGCTGGTGGCACTTTGCAACTTCCTGCCCAGAAATATTAGGCCAGTACTATCATCCTGGAGGAACTTTAGCCAAACCAATACATAAGCTTTGGAAGCTTTTGTGAGACTGACATGATGATGGGGAGCCAATATGCAGGAGGGCTAGATTTGGGCTAGAGAAATGCAAAAGACTCTGCCTGGGGCTACAACCTGGCAAGTGAAGTTCAGGTGACTGAGACGGGATTGCACCTGCCTTGAAGTGGCCTTCTTTTGCTGTAGCAACTGAGCAATCAGACCTTACAGACTAACTTTTCAGTCTGGGCCACTGAATCTTATTATATCCCTAATAGTGGTTGGACCGCCGGTCTTATCTGCGGCCAGTGGAACGCACAGTTCCCCTGTCAAAGTGGTGAACTCCATGAGTTGCCAACAAGCCTGCAATGAAGCTGGCCCCATTAATACATAATCATCTAGACAGTGTCCACTTCCCTGAAGGCCAGACCTGTAACCCTAACCAGTAGAAATCATCCACATGTCTAGGCAGCAGGATTCAGTATTACATTTTGCCATTAATGTGTCCATGCTGCATTTTTTAACTAGCCTTACAGCCTGTAATGAAGGCTAACAGGGAAGTGCCAGGCCCCCACAGGTCAATAAGAAAGAGGCCAGAGACTTGGAATGCACTTGACTTTTTATTCACAGAAAGTAACATAGTGAGTTCTCCCGGGCTTAACTCCTTCAGCTTGAGACGTTAAAGGAAACTTGAGCTCTGGCCCTGCCATTCCCCTCTAGCCTCTCACTCTGGAGCCGTCCCCAACAGACAAGAGACTGTGACGTGGGGATGAGCTCCTTCTCTGGGTCTTTCTGGCTCATTGCTAGGCAACATGTAGGACTCTACTAAAGGGGTGTGTGAGAGGAGGAGAGCCAGCAGGACTGAGACTACCCTGCTAAGGTATGGCAGGTGTACTCTCTGATTCCTCCCTGTTTGTGTCTGCATTCACACCAAGACACTCAACCTCCAGCCCTGTCGTGGAAAGGCCTTCTAATGCCCCCCCCCCGATCACTCCACCCTCATGCTTCCACCACCACCCAGCTCAGCCCTCCCCATTGTCCCACCACCAGGACCAGGGGTCTAAGTCTTCATCTTCCCTGGGGAGCTCCTGGGTGGAAGGCTCCTCACACTCCTCATCCAGACAGTACCTGACACAGCCTGATTAAAGGATGCATACTAACTGAAGAGAACTCGTGTTATATAGAGTCGTTAACCGACTCACCTCTTGGATTAATTAATTAATTAATTAATTAATTAATAATTTATAATAATGTTTATTATTTTATTATCTGACTAGGTTCACACTTCTGTCTCAGTGACATCTATGCTGGCCTGGCCATGTCCACAGTATGAAATATGTCAGGGTCTCCAAGGATGTGCTCTATGTGGAGATGGCTTCTGGCACCAGGCCTGTTGGCAGACTAACTCTGTGTTACAAAGATGTCTGCATACATGACCTGAAGGCAGGGAACATCAACCCTTGTATACAACCACAGTGCCTAGAGACAGACAGGCAAGTTGCGTATCCATAGCAGTGACCAAAAGATGAATGCCTACAGGGAGGAGTGCAGTGAGAAGAAAAGCTATGGTGCATTCTTTGCAGCACAACTGGATGCCTTCATCTGCACAGCTAAGGTACTTATATACAGCAGATACTGCACATTTCCTTTATTTTCATTTTTTGTTCCTTTCAGAAAAAAATAGACATCTCCATATTCTTAATTAACAAAACTAACAACCTATTAAAAGGGTTACATAAAAAGAGAGCACTGTATAAATATATATGTGGCCCCCTTCACATCTCTTTGGCCTAAGGAAAATGCAAAGATTAAAGCATCATTTCAGTTTAACATACAGTGGTACCTTGGGTTATATACGCTTCAGGCTACATATGCTTCAGGTTACAGACTCCGCTAACCCAGAAATAGTGCCTCGGGTTAAGAACTTTGCTTCAGGATGAGAACAGAAATCACACGGCGACAGCAGGAGGCCCCATTAGCTAAAGTGGTGCTTCAGGTTAAGAACAGTTTCAGGTTAAGAACGGACCTCCGGAATGAATTAAGTACGTAACCAGAGGTACCACTGTGCTCTCAAGTATTAAGAGAAACCCTAAGGTTCAGTCAACAATATGATTACAGTTTCTTCTGTGTCAGTCTTTTAAGTGCCCCCAGCACATCTTGGTTTCTCAGTGTATAGATTAAAGGGTTTAACATGGGTATTATTGCTGCATTGAAGACAAAAATAAATTTATCACTATCCTGATTGTCCTTAGATTGAGGCTTGATGTATTGGACTATAGCATTTCCAAAGAAAACCACCACCACAGCCAGGTGAGATCCACAAGTAGAGAAAGCTTTCTTTCTGCCACCAGATGAATCTATTTTCAAAATGGTCACAATTATACGTGAATAGGAAAAAAGGATCAAGCAGAAGGGGAAAAGTACTGTGAAGGTGCTGGTAAAGTACATGATCAGTTGGCTCACTGCCATGTCTGAACACATCAACTTCATGAGGGCTGTGAGCTCACAGGCAAAATGATCCACCTCATTGTGTCCACAGAAGTGGGCTGGTTTTGCAAGACAGGGAACGATAGCTAGCAAAAAGGCCATTGTCCATGGTGCAATAGCCAAAACAACACAAACTCTCCAGTTCATGATAATCATATAACGCAGTGGACTGGAGATGGCAACATACCGGTCATAAGCCATGACTGCTAACAGGAAACATTCCGTTCCTCCTAGGTATATGCCAGCATACATTTGAATGTAACATGAAGCAAAAGGCATGACAGGTCTGTCCACCAAACAGTTGGCAATAGATTGTGGAACTGAAAAAGTACAAAGACCAATATCAATGATGGACAGATTGCAAAGAAAAAAATACATTGGATTGTGAAGCCGAGGATCAGCTGTGACCACGAAGACAATGAGTCCATTTCCAACAACATTTCCTAAGTAGATGATGCTCATTAAAGCCGCTAATCCTGTTCTTATTTTGGGATGTCCGGAAAATGCAATGAGGACAAATTCAGTGATGTCAGTCTCATTCATGTCTCCTAGATTCTGCATGAGGAATTTGCTTTTGGTGATCAAGGGAAGAAACAGAAAATGCACAATATTTGAGAAAGTATTGGCTACATATAATATAGGCATTTATAAAAAGAATAGTAGAAACATGATATTGAAATTGATAATTTTTTATAACTAGAATAAAATGTTTGTAATCTGAATCATAGACACACACAAACAGGTTATATACGGTAGGTCAAATTAAATCAATTTTTAGTTTTACAGCCAATGATCGTAGAGAATAAAAGGAAAACAAGTGGGGAAAATATGTACATTATTCAATGAGAACTAGGTCAAGACTTATTTCTATGCATTGCATATATTACAGGCAAAAAGCCTATATTTTAATTTTTTTATTTTAAAAAGAAATGTTATACGAAATTCAACAAAATACAGTATTATCAAACAGGATTTGGCAACAATAAACATAGTCCATATACAATTATAGATCACTGTCAAATGAAATCAGAAATAAAATAAAACCAAATAAAATATGTTCTTCCTTGCTTACAAATGAAATAAAGTCAGACCAAACAGGTACGGAATCATCCTTTCTTTCTTTGGCCTCTAAGGACTCTAAGCTCATTAATTAGTGCCCCCCCCCTGGGCAGTAACCCACATGTAATTTATGGTCAGTTTTGCTTTAATTTTTATTTTTCAACTTTCTAAAAGAGACTCATATTTGGGGAAAGATCTCAAACTTAAAAATAAATTAATAAATGGCAGTGTGTCGATTAAGTTGTTTAACATACAAATCACTGGTCAGTAAAATGCAATTTTGAGGCCTATCTTGTGTGATATTAGACTGGGTTTTTAGACTGGGCAAGTTTCATAGAGATGCAAACTACAACTAAGCGGGGTTCAAGTGTGAGAGAGCTTCCCACCTGCCATGTGATGGAAAGTGTTGCAGAATGGCCACAATACTGCCTGTTAAGGGGAAAGAGCAGTAAATGTATTTCATAACCAAGTGACCCATAGCACCAGCTGAGCAGACCCATTTAATGCAAGCTTTGACATCACAAGCTGCATGATACATTCTATTGTTTCCAAGTCCCTGTTGGCTTAGGCAAGGCTGGGAAAAGGGAACATAGGAAATCCATGAAACAACCAACAAACCATGGAACAAACACCAATGCAATGCAACTTTACCAGTTCATGATAATCAAATTATGTAGGTGCTGGAGATTTATTTTACTTAAAGCCCATTTTAAAGTTGTTACATTTTCACATTTCTAAGACATCTTTAACAGTAGATGAGCAATATTTTGTTTTGAATTGACTGGTATTCTATTTTAGTATCCCTATTTATTGTTTTGTTGATTATTATCCTTTTCAGGTGCAGGTTGTTGATTCCTTATCCTCTTCTGCAAAATTACAAGCTAAATGACACTGCAGATTGCACAAGCACACATATACAGAAAAATGACACAATATTATGTTATTTCAAAATCATTTCACTGGGTAAGACTTTGTATAAGTTAAAAACTTAAAAGTCCACTTGATTTCAGCGAGAGAGATGTAAGTAGGCATATTATTATTATTATTATTATTATTATTATTATTATTATTATTATTATTATCTTACCTCCATCCAAAATTAATGAGATTTGCAACATAAAAACACAAAATGTATAAAATAAATATGAAAAATAATAACAATAAAACACTTCTAATGAAGTTTTATTGAACTGAGGTTCAGCGCCTAATGTAAAATGCTGCACCAAGTTATAAGTAAGTGGAATACAAGTAATAAGCTCAATTAAAAGAGAAAGTTACCTCTTCCAAATAGTGAGAATAGTCTGCTCAGTTGTGACAGTATGCTTAAAAAATATCGGTGCAATGTGGTAGTTCCCCTTTTTCAGAGTTACAGCAGGATGATGCAAAAATAATTTCAAGAGACTTGGGAAAGGTGAGAGAAAGAGCTTTTGAAGCTAAATTGGAGTTCTTTACAGATTAAAAATAAATATTTTAAATTCTTCCTTAAGGTTATTCCAAATCTAGTGCACTCACACCAATACATTTTAAGAATCCATTTTATTGATCCTTTTTGATCCACTATTAGCGAATTAAAAGAAAGTTATACAATGAAGGTATCAAACTAGCTACAACATATTCACTTTACAAGTTCTTTTTCTTATGTAATCTGGGCATCCAATAACCATAGCTATGTAGGAAACATATCTTCCATTCTTGAACAGCTGGATCTATCTATATGTGAGTGAAAATGCATCTTGAAGCATTGTTACTTTCAGGTAAACAGGAGTAACCTTATATTAGTTCTTGATTTCTGCTTTAACCTTCTGCATTCCCACATGACCTAATCTCTACTGATTAATTTGCTTGAGAGCACGCAAGAACCACCGATAACTATTCAACATATAAATCTGAAGTAATGATCACAAGACCATCTACGTTTCAAACAGAGAGAATAGCCCTCACCCATTTAATCAAGAGGAATTCCACTGAGTTCACTAGAAAGCAATCAAGATTTGCTTTGATTTCACCTCATGAATCCAGTTAAATAAAGTATAGGTGGCAGCATCTACACTTATTTTTAGTGTGAAAATGCTTTTGTTCCAAATAGCCTATGCAGCCCTGTGATTTTAGCAGGTGTAAGAGTTTTAAAAATTCTTTTTTTATTTGAAATTATGTTTTGTTTAACAGAACCCGTTTTTCAATATTTGGCTTTTCATTGGCATTTTAACCTATTTTTAAAGATTTTCTTGAAAACTACTTTTTCTTTTCCCTAGTAAAGGGTTTACAGATGTTTGTCAAATAAATAAATAAATAAATAAATAAATAAATAAATAAATGCAAATCATTGTGATCTATTTAAATTTCCAAACATTCAGTTTGCACTCAACTTGCTTTTTTTTCTTTTTTTAAGGATCCATTTGCATGCCCAGCCGCTGTCCCCCATCCCAGCACGCCTAATAGCTGAGTGGTAAATGAATGGACACAACTGTCTGGGATTTAAACAGCCACAACTTTATTGATTTCAGATGTAGGAAGCTTTGGCATAGGCCAGGGTTCCACAAACTTTTTCAGGAGTCCCTCAGACCTTGTGGGGACTGGATCCACCCTCTCCTGAAAGGACCCCCTGCCGCCACTCACACCGCCACCACTGCCGCCTTCTCTTTGGCAGTGTTGTCATCCTCTGCCTTGGCCAGGGGTCCGCGGGGCCCAGAGCCCAGGCCACTGGCCTGGGTGGTGGGGGCAGCCTCCCAGCCACTGCTGCTTCCTTCCGCTTGGCTCTTGGCCATACACGGCTGCCTCAGCAGGAAGGGGCATCGTCCAGAGGCGCCCGCAGCTTCGGATTGGCTGCAGGAACTTCCTGCAGCCATTCCGAAGCCGTGCCAGCGTAGTGGAAATATGTCCCCATGCGGCGAGGCCCCTGTGCCGCGCTAGTTTAGTGTGGGGACTGACCGCGTAGGCAGCAGGGTCTGCAGGGTCTGAGGGCCAGATTTACAATCCCGGTGGGCTGCATCCGGCCTCCGGGCCTTAGTTTGCTGACCCCTGGCATAGGCATTGGGTGTGTATCCCTCTCAGCCCCCCCTTCTGGGGCAACTGAGGCACGACAGAGTCTATTCAGGGGTGGATTCATCGCAAAACACAGGTTTTACCCAATGCTCATTTCCCAAGGGGGAGAAATGGACACCATCAGGATGAAACAATTTGGGCATATTGGGCTTAATGTCTGGGTATTGAATTATGCGACGCTGAAGATGCTGCATTACTTGTCGCAAGGCCCTATTGATTTTTACAAGGGCATAATTTAGGTGGCTGATCTCATTGTGCCATGCCACTGACAATGTGGGAGGAGCTATGACCAAAAGATGCAGACTGCAGTTGTTCCAGGTCAGCGATTGCTGTCAAAATCAAGTCCGTACTTTTTCAAATGACAAGGTTGTTCTCGCCCAGTTGGAGGATCGGGGCATCAGGTGGGCCGTGACTGGTGATGGCTATCTGGAGTGTAGGCATAAACACATTCCAATGCAATGTGACAGAGAGTGAGAGCGAGCACAAAGGCTTCGGAGAGTCACTCAGGGTGCAAGTTAATGCTTTTGTGCATGCAAGTGTGAGTCAGTAACTATACATTACAGTTATGGACCGCTTCATTATCTCTAACCACTGGTTAAGACACATTTTACTTTAATCAATTACTAGTTCTTAGATTGCTGTCCCCCAACCCAAAGTGTAAATATGACTATGATAAACTCATTTCAACAAAGTTACTTTTGATAACTTATAATCTTATTATTGGTTCATTACATACGCAGATATATACATGCACCTGGAAAGTATATATATAATAATTGGGGGAGTGTTAATGCTCCTTACAGTTTGTTTCTTCCTTACATTTTGGTGTATCAAGACAGAGGAAAATTATATTTCTATCGGCTTATTCTAGCTTGAAACATTTGGGTACGATAGCCCAAGACCCAATATACATATAGTAAAACACTTACAGTAGATATATACAGAAAAACATGTTTAAATGAGTTTTCCTAATTTTACACTAGTGATGCTGATGATGCTGATATATTTTGGGGAAATAATAAGTATTATTTTGTGGACAAAATTATCATGTGAAATAGGGCCAATGCAGATAAAAGAAGAGTGAATTTGTACATGTCTGCCTCATTATCATATAAAGTGAAGGCAGGGTGAGGCTGTTTAAAACCTATTGAATGGAAGTATGGAACTGAGCCTTCTCATCTCACACACATCCTATTCTTCCACCAGTAAATTGCTGATGTACTGGAAGTGAGATGTGTAGGAAGCAACAGAATTGGGTGAGGAAGGTTCAGCTCTATAAAACCAAGCACAACTCTTGACATAAAAGAAACTTCACACACACACACCCCACCTTGTTTGGTAATAAGACAGACACATGAACCATAAATATGGCCAACCCCATCTGGTCTATATTGGCCCTAAGGAAATACAAAAGACAGGCATTTTCATGACCTTTAGGCTGAAATCCCAAATAGTCTTTCTAAAGCGGAAACCACATTGGACACAATATATACACACAGTGCTTTTTTCTGGGTGGATGCGGGGATATGCATATCCCTAAACATTTTGTGAATCTAGGTTTGGCCTCAGTGAGGGGCAGTATTTCAATATGAGTAGGAAAATGAGAGTACCCCCTTTTTAAGAAAAAAGCAATATATAATAATAATAATAATAATAATAATAATAATAATAATAATAATAAATTTTATTTATATCCCGCCCTCCCCAGCCGAAGCCGGGTTCAGGGCGGCTAACAACAGTCAAATAGTCAAACAGTCAAATTCTAAAAACATTCTAAAAACATTTCATTATAAAAATTAATTAAAATCAAATTGTTGGCAACCGATTAGGCAAAATTCTGTGCAGGTTGCCAGAGGAGGGAGTCAGGCTGCGCCCTGACCAAAGGCCTGGTGGAACAACTCTGTCTTGCAGGCCCTGCGGAAAGATGTCAGGTCCCGCAGGGCCCTAGTCTCTTGTGACAGAGCATTCCACCAGATTGGAGCCGCCGCCGAGAAGGCCCTGGCTCTAGTTGAGGCCAGCCTAACCTCTCTGAGGCCTGGGACCTTGAGGATGTTGTTATTTGCAGACCGTAGGTCTGCAAATAATATATATATATATATATATATATATATATATATATATATATATGCAGGTTTTGGTGTCCTCGGGTGTCTTCCCGTGTAAAAGTTGGGGTGTCTAGGCGACGTTTCGACGAGGTCTCACTCGTCATCTTCAGGCTGGTGCTTTCGGCTTCTTGTTACTGGAACAGAGCAGGATCTCAGTGTTTGAGTTCCTATAAATACTGTTGAGGGGGTGTGGTGTATAGCCTCCAATGTTCTGGGCAGAGAGGAAGTTCCCAGGTTAGTGTGCCTTTTCTTCTTTTGTTCCTTATTTCCTTCTTTTGTTCCTTATTTCCTTATTTACCCGTGAAAATCTACGAAAGCATATATATATATATATATATATATGAGAATTCATAAATAAATACAGATTCAATGCTGAGATCTCTGTTTCTTCTCAGTCAGCCTTTTAAGTGCACCTTTCACTTCTTGGTTTCACAGTGTGTAGATTAGTGGGTTTAACAGAGGAACAACTGTTCCATAAATCACAGTTATAACTTTGTCTTTTTCTTCCATCACCTTAGACTGAGGTTTTAGATAGGTGAATATGCATGTTCCATAGTAGATGCACACCACAGTCAAGTGGGAACCACAGGTGGAGAAAGCTTTCCACCTCCCACCTGAATGAATCCTTAGGATGGCCACAATAATACGTAAATAGGAAAAGAGGATGCAAGAGAAGGGGAAGAGGAGAGTGAAGCTGCTTGTAAAATACATAACAAGCTGGCCCACAGTGTTATCTGAGCAAATTAATTTCATAAGGGCTGTGAGCTCACATGCTATCTGATCCACTTCATTGTGTCCACAAAAACGTGCTGGGTTAGCAAGACAAGGAACTATAGAGAGCATGAAGGCACCTACCCAGGAGATAGCTGCCAAAGCAATGCAAACTTTCCAGTTCATGATGACCATATAACGTAAGGGATTGGAGATGGCAATATATCGGTCATAAGCCATGACAGCAAGCAGGAAGCATTCTGTTGATCCAAGGTATAAGCCAGTGTACATTTGAAGGTAGCACATGTTAAAGGACATGGCCGGTCTGTCCACCAAGCAGTTGGCAATAGCTTGAGGGACTGAAGTTGTGGTGTAACAGACATCAAGTACGGACAAATTGCAAAGAAAAAAATACATTGGATTATGAAGCCGGGGCTCAGCTACGTATACAAAAAGAATGAGTCCATTTCCAATTATTGTCACCAAGTAGGCTAAGATAAGAAAGCTCATTAAACCCATCCTTGTCTTGGGTTTCCCTGAGAATCCAATGAGGACGAATTCAGTTATCTCAGTATTATTCAGTTCTCCTAGTTGTGGCATCAGGATGTTACCTGAAGCAAAAGAAATCAAATGCCATTTGGATTTCTATAGCCATTATAAAATCATTTAAAACCTGGTCAGGTCTAATATGCTAGTAGTACTTGGGTTTCATTGAATTTAGTGTGAAAAATTAGCCATCAGTCCCATGAATTTCAACAAAACCTAAATGTGACTAACTCTATGATTCTATGATCTTAGGTTTGATTTAGTCTAATTCTACTAACCTAATGCTATCATACTGATATTATAACAGAAGCTGCAAAGTTCCCTTACACTGCATGTGTAAATTCTTAAACTGAAAATTAGTAGAAATTACAACAAATGTGTAGCTCTAGACAACCATACAGAATGAAACAAATTTTAAATAAATGTTCCCTTAATCCTATTAAAATAATTTCCAAGAGGAAAAGAAAGATGTCATTCACCAGAAGTACCATATGAAATTTCTAAGACATTTCTACACTACTCATTTTTCTAATATAAAGAGAGTTGAGATAGTAGGTGACTTCCTTTACAAGCACTGAGTCTACAGAGAAATAGTCATAATGAAATTCATTTGTACAAGGCTGTCTCTACTATGCTTGTAATGGTCAAAGTGTGTAATGTTCAAACATCTTACTTCAAAGATGGAAAAAAGAAGAATAGGTGGTGTATTCATGTTATGCTTGTGAAAAGCTCATGTAACACCAGCTTTGACAGTGAGAGGCGCAGATTAGAAGCACTGAACTGACAATGCATGACAAAGCATGACAAAACTTATGCTCCTATAAGAAATATGAGACCTCCATTTGGAAGAAATAGTACCTTTACAACTGGACTTTTTATCTGACTGCAATACTATATCAACTTTTCTACAAGTAAGCATTGATTTTAATGGGACTTCTGAGTAGAAAAATATAGAATTGCATTCATTTATTTCATTATTATATGTGGATGCTTCCACACAATTATTTAGTGGATTTATTCCCTTCTGCCAACAGATTTCCAAGGTATGTAGAATGAAATGTTTGCAATTGATTGAAAGTATTTCTGGTTGCTGTTTAATTGATTCCCCCTCATTTTGAATTTAGATCATTCAACCTGCTTCCCTGAAATGGTGATCTTAAGAGAAAATGTATAAAAGTGTAAGATGTAATTTGGAATACTTCATGGCACAAATATGCTAGTCCATACAAGAACAGCGAGAAACTTATTAAGCCAAGCCCCATGAAGTGACCACAAATATTTCAAAAATTCATAACGAATAAACAAAATAGCTTACCATTTATTGTTGGGGGTTTTTTTACTCACTGAAGATTGGAGGGGATGCTGTTCTATTTAGCATAAATCTGCAAAATGACCCAAAGGTAATTCAAGAGGATTCAGAAGGCAGAACATAGATAGTAAAGTTCTTGTCATGTTAAAAGCTAGTACTTTGCATATGTCCCTAAAATTCTGAGCAGTCCTTATCTTAGCTCATCTATCAATACATTTAAAAATCCTCTTCAAATAAAGGTCTCACAATGAATACCTGAGATTAGCTACAGCATTTATGGTTCCTGACTTCCCTTGGTCTGATGTTTCTATAGTTTTATGTGACTGCTTTTATTTATAGAATATAGATTCAGGTTTACATGTGCGTAAATAAATACAAGTAAATCACAGTCATTTCCACAAATAGGTAAAGGTGAAGATGACTCTATTAGTTCTGACTTGTATTTCTTCTTTGTGGGTTCCCACATGAACGAATCTCCATTGACTAATTTGTTTTACATTTAAAAAAGAAAACTTTAAGCATTCAACATGTAAATCCCAAGGTTTTGATCACCACCACATGCTAAGTGCCATGAATAGGCTCCTACAGGGCCTCCTACTGTCACCTCATGGGACCCCACCAGCTCATCTTAGAACTTTGGGTCTTCCCTTGATAGCAGCCATAATCGATCAAGCCTAAATGATGTAGACCTTTGAAGACCATATTCTTACCATGCTCTCCTGGTTGGAGCAACTAAGGACAGGAAGTTCGGCACAGAAGTGTCAAGACAATCTTAGGCTTTATAATCTCCAAATGAATAAATATTTATCACTTAGTTTACGTGAACTTAGAACTTGGAACTTCAGTTATGGTGCTAACCAATTTTAAAAATCCATTTTTGCTGCCTGTTATTCTATTTGATACCCTCAAATTAAAAACAACCATTCAAGGCCTCACTACCTTGAAAGGATGACTTTTTCACAGTTATATAGGGCCTTTGTTGAATTTAGGTTTCAACAGATGCCTTCAGCATATTTAGAGGTGAAATACATTGAAATAGCTCATATGGAAAAGAAATTCATTTATGGATGTAAGCAGGTTGACGATATAATGTACTGCTAATTGTTTTTATAAATTTATAAATAGTGCTCAGAGATTTTTTATCTTCTGTTCTTTATGAATTTTCAGGTCAATCTACCCTCCCCCCAAGTGATAGTTGAACTCTTAGCCAATAAATATCTACAAACTGGTAGCCAAATTTGGACTGGAAGATAAGAAGCTTTGCACCAGTTATGTTAGTGCATTGTAATTCTAAATTTTTATGCTGTAAATGTAGGCTTTTACACCATAGACTTTAAAGGCTATGATGTGATTTTAGAGAAATATCTTGCTGTTGTTCATTGTGAAGGCCTTTGGCTATTTACAATAAATTTATTGACTGAGCATGACACTGAAGAAAAATAAAGCAGTCAACATTACATTTCCAAAAGTATGTAATAGGAATAAAGAATAGAAACCATGTCAGAACAATTTTTGTCACTCTGAGACATACAAATAGGCTTACAGAAAGATTTGAATTCATATCCTACATGGTCAATCTCATTCTTTCCAAGCAATTTATCTGTCTTATCAAGACATGGGATTACAATAATTATGAAAGTCCAAGTAACAGTGACCAACATGATGCAAACCACCCTGTTAATGATCGATGTAGTACTCATGGATTGGTGACAACAATGTTTCTGTCACGAGCCATGACTTGATGCAAAATCTTTTTGTGACAATTGTAATTCCCGCTCCTTCTCCCTCGAAAATCATATTTCTCCTCCTCTTTTATTTCACTTGGTGGATTCAGCCAAAATGTCTGCTCCCCACCCAAACTGATAGAACCCATCAACTAAAATGAAAGGAAGCCCATCTTAGGAGCTAACCAAAAGCAGGTAACAGCCTGTCAGTCTGCTCCTGAGATGCAAACACTATTTTCACCAAAAATATATTTTAGAGTTTCACTTCTTGAACTAGCAAGTGTTTATACCATTATATCCAACTTGTGAAGCACCCAAGATGGAATATGTGTTCTTATATCAGGACCATTAATTGAGAATCATGGGCAAATTCTATATACAGTGGTGCCTCGCAAGACGAAATTAATCCGTTCCGCGAGTCTCTTCGTCTTGCGGTTTTTTTCATCTTGCAAAGCACGGCTATTAGTGGCTTAGCGGCTATTAGCGGCTTAGCGGCTATTAACGGCTTAGCGGCTTTAAGAAAAAGGAAACAAACTCGCAAGAACTCGCAAGACGTTTCATCTTGCGTGCTGAGGTCCCCCAAATCATCCCTACCCCAATAACTCACACATCACACATAATTTTTGTTTAAGGTTTTTGGCATAATTTTGGCCACAACTTTTATTATCATACAAAATTGTGAGTGGTTGCGTAGGCATTGGTTATGACTAGCTATCCCCCCCGCCTTGGGGGATAGCACTGACTCCCGGATTCCAGCGTAAGTCAGTGTGGAGGAACAAGCAGGGCAACTGGGGCTGCGTTACAGACCCTTCAGTTCCTCCCTGCATGCGCCTTGGGGTCTTACACGGCCCGCACCCGATTCCAGGGGTTTGGACAAGGGGATGGTAAGCCCCAGAATTCCTTTAACGGAATTCCCATTCCGCAGCAGCATTGGAGGGGTAGGCACAGCCAATCCATACCCCTCCACCAACCAATTTAACCAATGCCTAACCGCCACCCGAGCCCTTATGCTCGCCGCCAACCACTCACAAAGCAAACCACACCCTCAACTTGGACACCACTGCATCCAACCATACATCATTCCCAGACGTGGAAAGATGAACCCCATCAGCCCTGTATAAGACCTCCTCCTTAAAGGAAATACGAGGGTGAGGAATCACCAATCCACCCAAGCTCACCACCAACTTGCCCACCGCGGAATTAATCCGCTTCCTAACTTTTTCAGTGGACGCTGGGCAAGGACTGCCCCGCCAAATGCGGCGCTGAAGCAACTGTGACCAAATCAATTTAGCATTAGGCACCATAGCCGCCAGCTCCCTTAGGTCCTGTAAAATAACAGTGCGCAGCGTATAGCAAGGAAAAGAAACCATATCATTTTCCCCAAGCTGCACCACAATCGCTGAAGGTGGGCCAAGCAGGAGGACACGCCTTTTCATGAGTGGCAAGAATTCCCTCCAACGCATCCCCCTTCTGGAGATCCAGGACACCTGCACGTGCTGTGGAAGGCCCAGGCCATCTCCCAATCCAGACTGAACATGCTTTCCGGCCTCTTTGGTGGTAGTTTGTCTAGGCATTGGTTCCCGACTAGCTGCACCTGACCTCAGCAGGGCAGCACTGACGACTGGGCCCCACCATATCGTCAGTACCAGCAACATTGTGGGGGAGCAATGAATCCCAAAGCAACCGCATCCAGCCAGGTGGAAAGATGCACCCCCCATCTGCCCCAAAGAGGGGAACAGTCTTGAAGAAAATAGCAGGGTGTAATATCACAGAACCACCTAAAGCAAGGACCTATTTTATTTTATTTACTTTATTTATTTTATTCTATTGTCCACCGCCTTATTAACATGCTTTCTGGCCTGCTCGGTGGTAGTTTGTCTAGGCATTGGTTCCTGACTAGCTGCACCTGACCTCAGCAGGGCAGCACTGACGACTGGGCC